ACCCCAGTTCCAGAGAAGCAGGAGATCCTTCCCCAACAGGGAACTCCACACAACACACCCACCTCACAGACAAACACTGCCCCTGCCTGCCAGTGCTCCCATCTTTTATCCCTCAGTGGGACACCTGACCTCTGTTTACTTAATGCAGGACCCCTGGGGCTCATTTACCCAATGGCTCTCCCTGCCAGGCCGGCACCACCCTGGAGGGAAGCCTGAAGGCCAACTCACCCCCCCTTTGGGAAGGGCTGTGGGAATCACCCAGATGTCAACCTTAACTTGGGGTTGAAACCCCAGCATTTCACCATGAAGGAGGATAAATCATCTACAGCAATGCTGTCTTGGTGAAGAAGATAAATCTAGTTTGATTACTGTCAAACCTTTGCCAAGGTTGGACTGAAAACAGTGTAGCAATTCTTCTTGTGTCCCTAGAATTTTCATTTACATGACTGAGTGTCCTCTAGATCCATTGTGCATGCTGACCGTAGGAACAGAACTTCTGTGACCGACTTCAGTGCACTGGGATTTTCATCAGACACAGCTCCCTGTGTTGAATTTGCTCCTTTATCTTGTAGTTGTTTCTGGGATCACTCTTCTCCTTTCCATATGTGTGGACTGAAGCCACCACATCCCTATTTATTTGTTCTTGGGTAATACTTCCTTCCATGAGGTCTGCTACACCAACATTTTTCCTAGGATGCTAACCAATTTCCTCACAGAGAAGAAGCCTCTGTTTCAGGGACTGTGCTGCATAGTTGCATGTTTGGCTCCTTGGGAGGAACCCAATGTCTTCTATTAGCCATGATGCCATGTGATCGCTATTCAGCTGTCTGCAATCCTCTTCATTATGCAGCTGTAATGAACCAGAATATTTTTCCACAGCTAGCAGCTCTTTTCTGAATTACTGGCTTTGCAGTCACCTTGCTGATCATTGTATTGATGCTGATTTGACTTTCTGTGGCCCCAAGGGGGCTGCAGAATACCATTTCTACTCATTCACCTCCCTTCACCATGACCTCTATTTTCTATGGGATCCTTGCTCTCCTGTATATATTACCACCTGCCAATAATTCCCTAAATCTGAATAAAGTGTTGTCCATCTATATAATTGTGATCCCAATGGTAAATACCCTCATATACAGACTCAGAAACAAGGAGGCCCTGGAAGCCATTAAGTAGTTCTGGGGTAGGAAATCAACTTTGTGTTAATATTGGGGGGGGGGCGTGTTTCTGGATGCTGTAATCATCCTTGCAGATAAGATTAAGTCAAATTAACCCTAAGTGTGAGATTCAACTGCCCCAAAATTCTCCATTAAAAGGGTAGATGTAGAAAAGCTACCGCTATGAAAATAAGATTAATTTTTCTTAAGAGTTTGACCTCAGTTAGCTATCAGATGCCCATGCAGCTGCTCTCTCACTCCTCTTCCTCAATAGGACAGGGGGAGAAAAATAAGTGAAAAGCTTGTGGGTCAAGAAAAAGACAGAGAGAGCGCTTAGGAATTACCATCACAGCAAATCAGACTCAACTTGGGGAAGATTAATATATTTTATTGACAATTGGAAATAGAGCAGAATGGTGAGACACAAAGACAAAAACTAAAACGCCCTCCACCCATGTGTCCTTATTCCCAGGCTCAGCTTCACTCCTTCACTCCTGGCTCTTCCTCTTCGTTCCACCCACCATCTGTACAGGGGGGGTGGAGGATAGAAGGCTATGATCAATACAGAGCAGTTTCTCTCTGGTGCTTCTTCCTCCTCACGCTCTTCTGCTGCTGCAGAGTGGGTCCTCTCCATGGGCTGCAATTCCTTTAGCAAACATCCATCTGCTCCAGCACAGGATCCTCCAGGGGCTGCAGCGTGAATATCTGCTCCACCATGGGCTGCAGGGAAATTCCTTCTCCTTTCCCTCTCACCTTGCTCTTTGTACTGCTGTTCTCTCTCTTTCTTCCCTTCCTGCTCTGACTGTGTGGCAATTTTCACCTTTTCTTAAATACGTTTTTACAGGGATGCCACCAGCTTTGCTGATTGGCTCAGCAGTGGGTCGGTCTGTTTTGGAACCACCTGTGACTGGTGCAGGGCAATCTTTTCCCACAGAGGTCACCCCTGAGCCTCCCCACTATCAAAACATTGCCATGTAAACCCAAGACACTTGAAAAGCCTAGAACATCATAAACAGCACTAGACATCCATATTTAGGCTCCTGAATCCCATGCCACAATGTATTCCCCTCACACTCCAGCTGTCACCTCAGAAAATCAGTCCTTTATATCCTGCCTCCTACCTGGCAGGTGTTTCAGATACCCCAGAGCAGCTGTAATGGCACTGGGAGCCTATCACAGGCACTGCAGTGATACAATAAAATACACCTTCTATTTGACAAACCCTTTTTTGAAAAAAAAAAAAAATTTTTTAAAAAAAAAAAAAAAAAAAAAAAAAAAAAAAGTCATCTAGGTTGTGAGGATGAGTGAATTAATGCCTGCAAAACCAAATAACATTGCTCTTACATTTCTACGGAAAACAGAAATAAAGGTACAGAGGTAGGTAGGTAGGCATAGATAGACACAGACAGACAGATTCATGAAGAAGGTGTTTTTCTGTAGTATCTGAGCAGGATTTTTCTCCCAGAGGTCTGGTATTTTGAGCAGATGGCTATTTGGGTAGACCTCAGACAGAAGCACAGTGTGGAAAAATGAAGCAGTTTAGTATACGGATTTGGGGTTATTTTTCAGAATGCAGTGGGAACTCTTACATTATGGTAAACAGCAAATGTGTGCACGAGCCAGGTGCGGTGGGCTGGCCCTGGACAGTAATTAAACACCCACCCAGCCGCTCTCTCACTCTGTCCCACAAGGGCACGATGTTAATCCCTGTGGCCAGTTGGGGTCAGCTGTCCTGGCTGTGTTCCCAGGCAGCTTCTTGCCCACCCCCAGTAGCAGGGTACGTTCACATCCGGAAGATGGTGGGCTCCACAAAGCAGCCGAACAGGGAATTTGCTGCCTCCAGACATTCATGCAGCTGGACCTCTGCAAGCAGAGAGAAAAAGTACAGGGAGACCACAACTCACTAAGGGAATACAGTGTGTGCCTTACAGGAGCACTGGGAAGGAGGAACAAAGGTCAATGGGTGTCAGCTGCGGATTTGGTGAGAAAGACCCAAAGCCACTCCTCCCACCAAAATCTTCTTACCAGCTTGGTCCCGCAGCCACATACAAGCTTTGCCCTCCAGAAGCTCTGACCAAGATACTTTCCATTTATACCGGTGCAACCAGACTAAAGCCAAAACTGTGGCCCAGGCAGTTGGCTGCATATCCTGGGGGGAAAACAAAACAATCAAGGGGAAGAAATAGAAAGACAGATCAGACCTAAACCAGCATGTGGAAAAAGTAACATCTCCACACATACACACAAACTCTCTAAGCTTCTGACATGCTCAAAACTGGAAAGTTCCCAGGTGTCCCTGCTGATTCCATCCCACATCCTGCACACCCCCCCTCGACAAGCGGAGAGGCTCTATACCTCCACTGCTTGGATCTCTTCCTCTCAGTTCAGCTCAGACTGGAAACCTGGAGCAGAGGAAGGTTCAGCTCATGACAAATGCCCCACTCCTGCCCCATATCTGCTTACTTCACTGGCCCTTCGTCCCTCAACATCATCCTTGCTGAGCCCCAAGGCAGAAGCCAGGGCTGCGGTGAGGGCCCAGGAGCCATTTGCTTTCTGGAGTGCCACCACTACCCTGAGCCCAGAGAAGTCACACAGTCTTGATGACAGTGGTGAAATTGTCCACTCCCAACGGATGTTAAATGCTGGCAGCTCTTCCATCAGCTGCTCTTCAGGAGGAGAGTCCCGCTCTGGAAGAGAGAAATAGTCACACAGCTCATGAGAGGGGCAATGGCTAATAACCTCAAATTCTGCCATCTCCAGATATAGTTAACAGTCCTCCATCCTCTCTGGACTTTCTGATATTTTCCAGACCTCCCAGAGCATCCTCAGATCTTCCCAGTCCCTTGTAACTCTCCTAAAATCTGTCCTATATGCTCTAGTTTACCCAACATAATTCTCTCTGAACACCTTTAATTCCTCCCATGATTATCATTAATATTATTCTTTCCTGCCACTTTATGGCTCATGTTCACTGCTGAGGGCCCCACAGGGGTCCTTCTCCATCATCCACTCTTAAACTCACCAGCCTCAGCATGAGCTCTTCCTTTCCACATTCCAAGACGTAAGACCTCTTTGGAGCTACAGCAGCGCTGGATCACAAGAGAGTCAAGATGAGGAGGGTCAGGCAGAGCACAAGGGATTTATAGTCCCAGGCATGGCTCAGTTCTGGAGCAGATTTAAGAGCTTTTATGGGCAGAAAAAGAAGCACTTGGGCATAGAGTAGTTGGACCAAACAAGGGGTCACTAGGTCTGGCCTAAAGTTATACAGAGGTTGGAAGGGACCTCTGGAAGTCATCTCATCCAAATCCCTGTTCAAAGCAAATCTTATTAGAACAGCTTGCTCAGGTACCTGTGTAGTCAGTCTTGAATAGCTCTAAGGAGGGACATTCCAACAGTTTTTTATTATCTTTATGATTAAAAAAACCCCACAAAAAACAAACAAACAAACAAACAAAAACATTTTCCTCATACCCAATCAGCATTTCCCATGTTCCAACTTGCGTCTGTTGCCTTTTACCCTAATGCCTTGCACTTCCAAGAAGAGTCTGTCTCTGGCTTCTTTCTAATTTCCTCCAGTCAGCCAGTGGTAGACAGATATAGGATATGCTCTTCTTAAAGCTGAACAAACCCAACTTGCTCTGACTCTCCTCATGTGCCATGTGCTCAGCCCACTCATTTTTCTGGCCCTCCATGAGATTTGTTCCAGTATGTCAGGGTCTTTCTTGTAATGGAAGCAGAAGCTGAACACCATATGCCCTGATGCAGACCAGCAAACAGTGCTGAATCGAGAGGAAGGATCACCTTCCTGCACCCAGTGGCTACGCTCTCACTAATACAGCCCAGGATGCACTTGGCTTTCTTTGACTTGTGTTCAAGTATTTGTCCACTAGGATCCCAAGATCCTTTGCTGTACAGCTGCTTCCTGGAGTGTGCATGCCCCAGGCCTGTATTGTTTCACAGGGTTATTCCATTCCTGATCCATTCCTGATGCAAGATTTTGCATTTGATTTATTGAATGTCACGTGGGTCCTGTCAGGCCATTCTCACTGCCCTCCACTGTACTGACCACGTACCAGCTGTTCCCAATTTGGTACTGTTCATAAATGTGCTGGGAGAGTACTGTTCATTAATGTTCACGTCATTAATGAAGACGTTAAAAACAGTACTGTGACCATGAGAGATCCCTCTGGAGTTGCACTGGTGTTTGGCCGCCAGCTAGACTCTGAACTGCTGGGAACTGCTGCTTGAGCCCAGCAGCCTAGCCAATTTCCCACCAGCCTTATTGTTCACTTAACCAAGCCAATATCTCATCAGTTTGATGATAAGGAGCCTGGCAGCATGTCAAAGGCTGTTCCAAAATCAGGGTATACAGAGGCAATCTGTCCGGGTGCAAGAAATCCAGGAGGCTGCTGTTATGTCCTGAAGCATATTTTGTGATGCTGGTGCCTGATGAACCAGCCAGGAGAGACCTGCTATTCACAAACAGGGAGGAACTTGGTTGAAGATGTGAAGGTCAAGGGCAGCGTTAGCTGAAGCAATCATGAGACTGGAGATTACGATCCTGAGAGAAGTGAGCAAGACAAACATCAGAAGTACAACTCCTGGACTTCAGAAGAATGGATTTTGCCTTGTTCAAGATCCTGTAGGAAATTTCTGGAGGCCAAAGGGTCCAGCATAGCTTGATCTTCCAGGATCCAATCCTCCAGATCAAAGATGGTCCAGTCCAGTGGCAGAAATTCAAGGAAGCTTGCCAGAAGACCAGCATAGATGGACACAGCGTTCCTCAGTCCGATCAAACACAAAAAGCAGGTATGCAAAGGTGGAAGTGGAGACAGACTACTTGCAAGCAATACAGAGACATTGCCCAGTCATATAGAAATGGAGTTACAAACACAAAAGTGCCGCTGGAATTGAAATTTGTCAGGGAGGTAAAGACAACAGGAAAGGCATCTCTAAGCGCACTGACAGCAAAAGGAAGCCTAGGGCAAGTGTGGACATCTTGCTCAGTGGTGCAGGGGACTCTGTGACAAAGGATGTGGAAAAGGCTGTCATCGTCTCAAACTTTTTGGGCTCAGTTTTCACTGGTAATGTTTTCCCTCAGGTCTACCATGTTACTGAGTCTCCCAGCAGATTCTGTGTGAGTGAAGCAGTACCCACAGTAGAAGGCGGCAGTTAGGAAGCATGTAGGTTGGTGCCAAAGGAGTCGGCTGATGCTACCGCAAGGTAGTGACTTTTTCATCTTCAGAATATCATGGCAACTGTGAGAGGAACCTGATGACTGGAAAACAGTCAGACATCTCGCCCGTCTTCAAGAAGGGAAAAAAACGTTCAGGGACCTACAGGCTGCTCAGCCTCCCCTGAGGCCCTAGGAAGACTATGGAGCAAATCCTCCTAGAAGGACCATCCCGTATGGGCTTATCAAAAGTAAATCTTGCCTGAGCAAGCTCACTGCCTTCTCAGATGAGATCACTGGCACTCTCAGATGAGATCACTTCTCAGATGAGATGACTTTAGCACGGCCTTTGACAATGTCCCAAATTCTCCTTATCATCAGACCTGTAGATGCAGAAGGCTGGAAGGAGAGGAACCCTGGAAACTGCTGTGCAAATGGCAAGGCCTCTGCAGCTGGCTCGTTTTTGCTGAACTATATGAGGATAAAGCTAAAGATCCGTGAAGATATTTTGTGACAAACTTAGTGTTTGAGTATGGAGTTAAGGATTGTTAAAGACAAGGATAAGGTTACTTCAGGGAAGTATTAAGGCATTTGATTCTGAGTTTCCAGCCCAGAGCTGAGATGCAGGAGTTTGCTTTTTCTGTCATTCCATCCATCCCAGCACCACAACGACAATCAGGAAGTCTGGTGAGAAGATAAATGCTGAAAGTAGAGTTCACACTAGTCCAACACAGTTGGAGAATGCTCAACTATGAAGTTTCTCCTTACCTTTACAGGATGCTGAAAGCGGAGTGAGTGCCTCCGTGTCAGGGGCTTTGTGACCAAGCATCTCAAGGCAGAACTGGCACTTCTGGAGCATCCAAAACTTGGTGGAATCGAACCACACAGGCATGAAGCCATGCAACCAGAGCAGCTGGCAGGGAACCAGGTTGGAAGAGGGAGACAACAACATGGAGGAGTCTGGAGGCAAAGAATCTGGGAATAGAGACAGGTAGACAGGGGTTAGACACATGGGTCTTAGAGACAGGCAAAAGGGTGGTCGGGCCCACAGGATAGGGGGCTGCAGATGGTGAGGAGGCATCAGACCAACAAGTGCCGCTGTCCTGGTTCAGCTAGGATAGGGTTAAGTTTCCCCAGCAGAGAGAGATCTCCAGCTGGTTATTCATACCATGCTGACATAAGATCCGGGCGCGGGAGCACGGGAACTTTTTCCTTTGTGGCTTTGGTGGGGGGAGCACATGGTGGGCTGTCCATAACCATTGCAGTATTCCTCTGTATATCTTTTGTCTTGTTTACTGTTATTACTGTTTACTGTTGTTATCATCGCTACTGTTGTTGTTCAGAAAGTTTATTACACTATTGTATTCAATTTCTTCTTATTTAACCCGGGGTTTGTGCCCTACTTGTGTCCGAGGGTGGAGGATGGACAATGGCAACGTGGTCCCCGGTCCCGGCAGGGCTTAAACCAACACACCCACTTTCTCCTCCTAGTCCTACCCCCACCGTTTCCAGCCTTACCACGGTGCTGGGCATCCCTCTGTGTCATGCGTACTGCCACACTGGATGTGAAGGGGGATGGAACTCCCAGGCTGAGGCTGGACTTAACTGCGCTGTGCAAGATATCCTTTGTCCTGCTTGTCCCCTCCCAGGCCAGTTTCCACAGCAGGTGCATCATGGCCATGCGGTGCACAGGCAACCTGCAGGGACACGGAGTTAGTCCTTGGTTCCACCTCTGGAAGGGACATGGGATACATGGAGTAAAGAGGAGGGGGCAGTGTGGTAATGGTCACGCAGGTCCTCTCCCAAGATCAGGGCAGAGGGGACGAGATTCTCTTCCCACCTCAGGCTACAGTGTGAAGGATGCAAGTGAAAGAGACCCGCTGTCCCTCCTCCAGACCTTGCCAATGCCGCTGTAGCTCATGGGCAAGTGTGTTACCCTCTCACCTGTCGTCTGATGATGGGGACAGTGAGAACCTCAGTGTGTAACTGAAGGACTCACTGCCCACATGATACTGAAGCGTCACAGCTCCCTCATCCACCTCTGCATCCTGGTGAAACAAGGGAAAGAGTCAGACAGAAAAGTTTATCTGCTGGGCACAGGCAGCCGGGCTACTTAGATTCCATCCCTGCTCTACTAAGGTAGCAGATGCCCATGGTCAGAACAGAGGCACCGGTGTCTCTGGGGGAAAGGACAGGGTTCACAGAGCCTTGATGATAGTGGTCTCTCCAAAATCTAACAGAGGTGAAGGACTTCCAGTGCTGGGAAGATGAAAGAGGGAGTGAGCCCCTTACCTTCCAGAAAGCCCTGCCCCAGTGCAATTGGTTTCTGGATCACTCTCACCTGTGCTTGCCCATGGATCTGGGCATAGATGGAGCGCTGGTGTCCCTGGAATATCACCTCAGGAGCTTTTCTGATTGTTGACACCTCCAGGCCAGATGGAAGGTCCCAATGTAGTGAGATCCCACTAGCTGTAGGCTGCAGAGCCCGCTGCAGACATTTCACTGCCTGGGGAGGGGGAAACAGAGAGCACAGACCACTTGGGTTCCCTCCCACTTCTGGGTGGGGGGAAGTTGGAGGGCATCTCCCAGTTGGAGTGGATGGTGGATTTGGATTGCCTTGCATGTTTAGGAGAGCCACGGGAGGCACTGAATAAGGGGGGGGGGGGGGTGGTGCTGGAAGCCCAGGCACCTGGGTCATTACCTCAGATGTCATGTCCATCCTAGAGTGGATGCACACACATTCACCTTTTGTCTCCAGGGCCATGGCCTGGGAAAGTTTGAAGTTGTTAGTAGGAAAACAGAAACACCTGTACAGGAAAAGAGGGGGAGGTTAGAAATGGGGCAAAGGTGAGAGGCACAAAGGACAAGAATGGTACAAATGACAACGTCTGGAGAGGTAGAGATGCTTCTAATCATAGAAATGAAAAGTCTCTCAGAGTTTTCCTGTTCCCTCCAGGCTGAGAGATGTTGCCAGATGAGACTGTGAGAATGGGGTTTGGGTAGCAGAGTGCATTGAGGTATTGCATGGTGAGGATGAAAAGAAAAAGTGCTGAGAAGAGCAGAGGCAGATTCGGAGAGGAAGCCACTAGATGAAGAGTATTAGTCATAGTGAAGTAAGGCAAGCACGGGGGGGTGGGGGTGTTACTGAAGTTCCATCGATGTAAAGAGAAGATCGGAGGAAGACTAGGGTCTGGAAGAATGTTTGAAGGACTCCGACAGTCAGGGGGAGAGGAAGGTTGTGAGTTAGCATGTTGGGGGACAGAAACAGGACTCTCTCGTTACCGGTGGTGGTCCCGGTAACGGTAGACCTCAGCCATGACAGCTTCCTCTTCATTGGAGATCTTCCTTTGGATGAAGATGAAAAGCTGAGGGAGAGAGGAGGGGAATCAAAGATTGAGAGGCCTGGGCACCCCTGTGGAGGAAAAACACCCTCCTAGAGTGCAGGCAGCCTCCCCAGTTTGCTCCCTTACCCTCTCATGCCCGCTGGCCTTGAAACAGGAAAAGACATTGTGTGCCTCCTTTCATTAACAGCAGGACACCTCTTAGCACAGAGGCACTCCACAGGGCAGATGTGCCTTCCCCAAGTGCAGACAAATTCCACAGAAGCTCTCCCAAGCTGCCCACCCCAAAGATGGTGTCACTTTCTGCCATAAGGATGCCCCCCACATGCCAACTCCTGGTGTTAGCAGCAGTAGGATATCTCACCCTGAGGCCTGATCTCTACCTTTACCCCACTGTTTACACCCATTCCCCTCCCCATAACTCTTTGGCCCCTGATACCTGGCGGGGATGCCCATGAAGGAGAGGAGTGCTGTAGATAGACCTTAGGAGGCCCAGCAGGTCACAGCCCCCCAGATCAGGGCAGATGGAGGAGATGCGCCCCATTGCATTGTCCATGCTTTCCTGCGTGTATTCCACACTCTGCCTGTGAGAGGGCACCCAGAGTGTCAGAGGGGGGAAGAACGTGGCCCACAGCTACCCTCACATGGCCACGCCATAGCAAAGCCCCACCTCACTCCAAGTGCTACAGAAGCACCTTGAAAAGAGCACTGACTTACCCTCTCACGGCCCCCAACAGATCCTGCCCCATAGCTGCCCTCCAGCAAGAGCCTGTCCCATAGTTCCACTTGCAAAAGTCATACTCTACTTACCCCTCCATAATCACCCCCAACTCACGGATAGAAGGCTTTGAAAGTGGCCCCAAAAGTGTAGATGTTGAAGTAACAGCCCAGAGGCAAACTCTTGAGGAGGAAAAGCAGTGTGTTCTGGGGACAGATGAAGGCATGGGCAGAGCTCAGATCGGGAAGCTAAGCAGAACATCTGCCCACATGAAGTAGTTTGCCTCTATGCCCACCAACTGGGCATAAGTGCTATGGAAAATCCCCCCTGAAGACCTCCTCCAGTGGTACCTGTGCATCCTGGAAGAGGCTGCGATCCATCAGAAAGAGGAATTCCCCAAGCTGGCCTGGACTGGGCACCGTCTCGGGAATGTTGGGCATCAGTGTCACCATCACCACAGGGTCTCCCAGCAGAGACCCTGCAGTGCATGGGGGGAAACAAGGAGGATTTTTAGATTGGAGCCCCCTTCCCCGTCTCTTTGCGTTTGTCCTCATCTCTGACCTATTGCCTGAGAAGCCCCGCAGATCCCCCCAGTCTCCCTGACACCCTCTCCCTAATGCTTACTTCCACCAACCTCACTCACCAGGTGGGGCTTTGGGATCTTGCCTCTCCACCACGGCACTGAGAGTGGGAGACCCTTTGTAATACACCAGTAAGTTCAGACTACCCTCCATCCAGGGTGACGATTTCAAGGAGAACTGAGGACAAGTAGGGTGTGGAGAGGAAAGAGAAGCAAATGAAAGGATTGAGAAGTCCTAAGGAGCATCATCAGGCTGCAGACCCTTCCCTTCTCTCCCACTTTGGGACTCTCACATCTGGCAGGGCCATACCTCAGCAGATGTCTGATCTGGAGCCGTATATTCCAGAGGAGTGTGGCTGGTGTTAATGGCTATATGGGACACACCATGGGCTGACTTCAGACAGATGCTGAAGTGCAGATTTTCGGATATCTCTTCCCCACAGAGCAAGCCTGAATTGATGAAGATATAAGGAGGTGTGAGAAAGTGAAAGAAGAGACCCCAGAGCAGCAGACAGCTGTGGCGGGGCACTGTGACTTGTTGGTAGAGGGGAAATGTGACATCTGAGATGTCCTCACTGTGGTGCTGGGGGGGAAGGTGGGTGTGGGTGGTGGTGGTGGTGAATCCAGACTCACACTGTGGTTTGTGTAGGGATGTGGGGGGATCTCTTGCTGTAGGATATATAAGGACACTTGTGGGGTTCCTGACTGTGAGGTGCAAGGGGGAATATTCAGATTCTCTCACTGAAGCACTTGTGCGGATACAGGGGTACCCCCAGAGGACTACTGGGGAGCAGTGTGTTCCTCCCTGGGGGATACACCCGGGGGATCACTCACTGAGGTAGTTGATCCGAGGAAACAGCTGACTTGGCCAGCAGAACTGGGCAGCTCCACCAGGCTGCAGTGGCAGCTCCTGGACATAGCACAAGCTGATGGCCACCTCTGCTTTAGGAGGCAGGGTCCCCAGGAAACAAGCAAACACAGGGCCCCAAAGATCGCACTGATCCTGCAGGTATCTTAAATTCTCCATGCCTAAAGTGGCTTTGCACAGCTGCTGGGCCTGTCACAAAGGGAGAAAGGTGTGTCACTGTGGTCTCCAGAGGATTTCATCCTCTCACCTCCACCCTTCATCCCAACCCGTGGTCCACCCCTTCCCACAGCAATCCCAGTACCTCCTCCTTCTCCCAGAGCATCGCTTCAATACGAGTGTCCCCCGTGGTAGCATAGAAGGTGTGTACAACAGTGTCAGAGTTCACAGGAAAGATGAACATCGTCTCCTTAGAAACTTCCTGAACATTGCGGAAAAACAGCTGAGACGCCACATCAGCCACAAAGTCTTGGATGGTTACATTTACTGTCACAGTTTCCAGCTTCACTTCAGAATGGGAAGAAAAGAACCATACTCTCCTCTGGAAGAAGCCTGAGGAAGACACAGCAGCTGTCAAACTCCCCGGCTGCCCATAGGAAACTTTAAATCTGGGGCATCTACTTGTAGTGGGAAAGAGTTGCGTGCCCAAACCTGTCACAGGAATGCCAGTTGCAGAAGCTGACAAATAGCAATGAAAGGTCCCGGAGGCTGCCAACATGTTTCCCTTAGACCACAGTTCCTCAGCACACTAAGTCCCTTTCAGCTCAATGCACATGGCAGCTGTGCCCTCAGATCACCCAACTGTGCCATGCTACATCTTAGTTCAGGCCTACCATGGCATTAAGAGCGGTCTGTCTGTCCCACAGCATATAGCCTAAGATGGTCCCACAATAGAGCTTCATGCAAATGGCAGGAGGTTCCCTGAAGCTCCTCAAACCCTCAGACCGTATCCCAGAGTTAGGAGCAGGTCCCACCACCTGCTATGAGACTAATGCTCCAAGAGTTGAGCTCGATTTTCAGCTCAAGCAGATATACTGCTCATTTTGGACTACTGGAAGGGAAGGGGGACCATACAAAGGGCATTTCACAAGGCATCAAAGGTAGAGTCACAGGAAGTCACCTCATCTCCTTTTCATTGTCAGCAGCAGAGACGTTTCTTGCTGACCTCCCCTTCTCACCTGTCATACTTGCAGGGTTTGGTTTATCTAAGGCCAACAATGTGTAAATCTGAATTTGGTTGGAAGATGGATTTGGTGACCTCTCTGCCTGCTATGACAGCCCCCTCAGTGGAAAGGCAACCTTCTCCATACCTTTGCCCTTGGTTTGAAATGAAGAGCATTCTCGGGCAAGGTTTGGCATCAGTGGTGCATCATCAAGCTTAATGGTAAAATGTGTTGGAGTAGTGTCTTAGTAAAGACTGGTGTAACGCTCTAGTAGGAATGGAGTTACACTTAGCAAAGGAAGGTGTAAGACCTTTACTGGGGTTTCTGTAATGTCTTGGAAGGGGATGGTGTACAGAAGATGGTACAGTTCACCCGGAGGGGACGATGCAGCTCACCAATCAAGTGATGTGCCTAGGTATCATGACACACCAAGTGATGATATAATGCCATGGCACTGAGGAGTGTTGCCCCCCCATCCCACAGTAGCAGACATCTCTTCTGCATTATCCTCCCACTTTGTGATGGTTTCCTGGAAAGCCGTCAGCACTTTGCATGAGATGAATCACACAAAAATACCTTCTGCTACGCCAGCCAGAATAATGAAGGCTGACTACGGTCCATGTCCCTGAGATCCCAGAACATGGTGAGATTTGACTCCCTGACTGATCACCCAAGAGATCAGTTTCTTCCCACACTATTCTCCCAGCTAAATCTTCCCCACTGCTCACAGATGCCACCCTTCTGGCCCCAACTCACCCCTAGAGATATACTGTTTTCTCAGGATGCCACTTTTCCTCATCTTGACTCTGTGGTTGAAGACAGCTTCTGTGTGCAAAAGAGCATAAAGTGAGCTATGAGGACCTTGAGAAAGAAAACTGGGCACCTCCATCTTCCCTTCCTCCAAGACATAGACACACACTCCCCCCAACATGGGCCAGGGTGACTCTTTACTTCTTCACATCCCACGTCAGATCCTTTTTGCTCCTCTCTCACCAGCCTCAGAGCAGATTAGTAGGACACAGCCTGGAATGGGAATTGCAGGTGTCAGAAATGCCTTCTGGTTCAGTGTGGGGGTGGTGCTTAATTCAGATTAGAGCACAGGGAAGGTGGGAGCAATGGTGGGCCACAGCCTGAGAGACAAGGCACAGCGTGAGTTGGGGCCTGAGCAGTGATTGCTGCACCTGGAGGACACCGGTACCAGTGTTGACAGAGGGAGAAATGGGCAGAAGGTTGGACTGAGCAGGCAAAGCATGGTCTGGGAGAATGGGTGGAGAAACACCTGGATCTGTGTGAGGAGAGTGGTGTAGCTGGATAGTTGGAGAGGGCTGTATTTTGTGGCAGTAAGAGTGAGCGAATGGCAGAAAAACAATGGCCATATGGGGATCTGGGGAGGGGAATGGACGAATGAATTTACAGTTGGGATGCATGGATGCACATCCAGGGAAGTGGGGGGAGGGAGAATATTGGAGGCATTGATGAGTAAATGCAGCTGTGTGGAATGTGAGGGAGGGGCGATAAGAAGTGCCTGGTTTGTGACTCATCTGTCAAGGAGGCCCCTAAACCATCAGGTCTGTGCATAGGTCAGTGGTCTGAACTCTTCCAAGACTGAGTAGAGCCTTAACTCTGTTGTCAAAACATTGGACAGGAGGGCCGTTTGCAGTGAGGAGCCCAAGCACAGGTGAGTGGTCCTTGCAAAGGTGAAGACGCCCAGTCTAGCTGTCTCCTGTAGCTGTGCTGTACGTATTGGTGTCACGTATCTATCTTAGAAATGACAGGACATTTGAAATGACACTAGCCACCCGCATTTCAACAATTGAATCTCACCCCTCAATTTAAACATGAAGAAGGGCCTCTTCCTCCTAGCACAATAGTCAGATTCAGTCCAAGAGTATTACGGTATTGTACGTATTTAAAATAGATACATTCAGATTAACTTCTAAACTTCTGCAAGGGGGTTTGCCATTGCACACAGAAAGAGGGGGTGAGAATGGGGCAAAGGAATGAATGAGGAGTGAGGGGGGTGTGAGCTGAGATAGAATGAGGAAGGGAAGGAGGGATGTGCATTCTCTGCTGTAGGTGATCCCGTTGGGGGGACCATTGTACATCGAAGAGTTAGTGGTCCACATCGCAGTTAACCCAAGGAGGCCAGGACTGCACCGCGCTGCACATACAGCTCGACCCTCAGGTCTGTGCTGCGCTGCACATAATCCCAGGGCCGCAGGGTAACCCCAGGCAGCTCACTGGATCAGAGGCAGCTCTGGAACATGTGCATTGTAATGCACTCTGTGCTGATTAGAGGCCTGTTCGATGGTGCACAACCCGAGTTTCCCGGCATCTGAGGGGGTGTGAAATTACCTCTGCTGTTCTCTCTTCCTTTATAGTGTCAGCTCTAAGCAATGTCATTCCAAAGTATGCTTTGCAGAAGCTGAATGTCTTTCCTCTGGGATCATGGCGGACCAGTACCCACCGCCTGGGGCACAGGATTTGGCACAGCCCGTGGGGCCCAGTAAGAAACACTTTTCTGGGGAAAGGATAATGAGGACGCTGCGGACTGAGAGCCTGGCTGGTCCCGGCACACAGCCGCGGAGGCAGTCACCACACACTTGGCCCAGGTGGTTTTCCTGGTGAAATGGGAAAGCGAGGAGGAATTATCTGAATGTTCCAGCCCAGCCGAAGCACTAAAGTGCCTCAAGCAACGCGGGGTAGGGCGAGGAGAACGTGTGCTGTGCTTGGTGGTTGCCAACGTGCTGGGAGCGGACCCGGGGACGTTTGGAGCTGAAGCTGCAGCCCCGGGTGAGCTGCAGGCGCAGCAGCGCAAGGGGGTCCCGG